TAACCCAGCTCTGCTCCCAGGAGCTGCTAGGAGTCTGTGGCAGGAGAAAAGCAAAGCCACTCCCTGCTGCATCCAGTTCAGGGCGTCCATAAACCAGCTACACCCCCACCATGCTAACCAGGGCCACCAGCTAATGCAAGGATGCCGATAACCACCTGCGTGTGATTGGTCCCAAACTCTGCCTGGATACTTTGACTTACGGACTGGCATCAGGAGCTTCTCTCATCATCACTCAGCACTCAGTAAGAGTCAGCAGACAGGCTCTATAATATGAATTCAGACTTCCCCATGGGATACAATCAAGGAGCATACTCATTTAAGATGCAGTCCCCTGTGGGGCAGGAAAGGGGATGACTTATTTTCCTCTTGACTCACTTTTTGTGCTGCATGCGATCTCTGGCAATGAGCCTGCTGTTTCTGTAATCAGAAGATGGCTGTCACCAGGTTCTGTTGGAGAAAGCATCCCCAGGCCATCCACATGGTCAGATTTTCCCTGGACTGGTCATTATGGGAAGACTGTGGGAGGGGCAGTTTCAGGTCCCCAAGGGGAAGAGGGGCTGGGTAGTGGAATGTTTGGGGCAATAGTTCTTCTAGCTGCCCAGATCTCTCCTGACACGTATGGTAATCTCGACCAGTGGGGGTCAGCCTTGAGGATCTGCTTATAAACCTGGGGACAGTCAGGACCTGCCATACCTAGGGCTGATTGTGAGACACTCAAAGCTCCGGGGGCAGCTTGGACAATCTCTCCAGGCCATTCATTCCCCCAGCACTGGAATGAATGCAGCACATGTGCCTATGCCCCGGTAGAGGGTTAACCAGGCAGCACGGACACCGACTAAAGCTTGGACCTAATAATGGCCCATTAATTTTCGTATCTTGGAGTGCAAGGTTGGGGCATCCTCTGGGATAAAAGCAGCAGCTCTGCATCCTCAGTGGGGCCACACACAGATAGATAGGTTTCAGAACAAACTCCTGGTCCAGCCAGACAGCTCAGCCATGACCAGCAGCTCTGATTTGCCTGAGTCCTGGAGCTTATACAATGGGGTCCTTCAGTCTGAGCCAAACGTAAGAGAACACCATGGGGGAGGGGAAGGAGCACCCAGAGGCAAGTGAACAGAGAGGCCCTGCTGTCTGCTTCCAGAGAAGCAGGCCCTACAGTCAAGTTCAGCTACTCCTCTGGGCCCAGTGGAGCTGGCAACGGCCCACCAAGAAGGGCAGGTCTGTGATGTCCATCGGCCAGAAGAGTGGGGGTTCCAAGGGGACCAGGACTGCAGAGGATGAAATGGCATGGTCATAGCCTTTCACTGGGCCAATTATCTCACTGGAGAACTTCAGGATGTGGGTCTGAGCACAGGATGGAATGGACTGGGAACACTCCAGTAGTTTCCTGGGACTCTAGAGGACCATCCACCTCCTCCGCACCTCCAGGATGCTCCAGGAAGCAAACTGGAGGCTGAGAACAGACCTCAGGGACTTTTCACCCAGTATCTTTGCACACGGTGAGTGGTAATGTAGCCTTGCATAATACTGGGTTTCACAAACATCCCTTACTTTTCTACTGTAAAGTTTTACTTTAGCGTAAAAGTGGCTGGCTGTATGCTTGGTACCTTCCCTGAGGGATACAGGAAACAATCTTTGTGTTTACTCTCTTTGTATGGTAAGGGGTATCCACGTGTGCAAAAGTGTCAAACCAGAATTTTCACCCACATGATGCTCCAGCTAACAGGGTTTTGTATGTTTACCTGAACATCACAGAGGGTATACTATACCCACACCACTCTAGGATTTTTTTTTCAAGTTTCATTTTGATTTTTCTAGTAGAAGTAGCCCAATAGTACAATGGCACATGAAAAACCAGATTTGCAAGTTTTAGAGGAGGTCAAAAGTGAATCATCAGATTACTCATGCATGGATGATGAAGATGATCCATTATGGTAAAATATATGTTCTCCTAACAGAAGAGTGGTGTGGGTAGATGATGATGATGACAACTACAACAACAACAACAACAACAACGACAACAATGACTTTGATGTTGGCCATGTGAGCCAAAGTTCCTGTGACAGTAAAATGGAGCAAGAATCCACTGATACAGACACAGGGAATGCAGACCTCCTTGATTCAGATGATGCAAAAACAGCAATATGAGTACATATTTGAGTAGTCAAAATGTTGCAAAATGGTCACACAAACAAATGAAATGATCCAATGTTAGAACTAGGTCTGAAAATATAGTGAGGATCTTGGTAGGGGTGAAACCTATTGGACAGAATGCCAGCAGTGCCATTCGATGTTGGAAATTGTAACAGATGAAAGGCTACAAGATGTTATGAAATACACAAAGGCTGAAATACAAGTAAAACATTCTCTATGCACCAATATCCACATTCAAAAATGTTTTTATTATGACACTGCATTAGCTGAACTGAAAGCACTCATAGGTCCGCTGTACTTAACAGGGGTTTTTCATGATAATCACAGGAATGTATAAGACTTATGGAAAAGTGATGGGTCAAAATATGGTATAAAAATGTATGCCCTTGTAGATACAAAGACTTGTTATGCTTTCAATTAAAAAATTTATCCTGGAACTCAGCCATCAGGTCCTTATTCATATAGTAATAAATCAAATGATGTTGTGAACAGACTTCTTGTTCCCATTTCCCAATCTAATGGAATGAGACATTCAACAACTGGTTTACCAGTTTCTAACTGATGTTACATTTGCTAACAGAGCACAAGTTGACCAGCGCAGGAACTGTATACAGGAACAAAGCAGAGATTCCAAATGAAATCTTGCAATTTCAAAACAAAGAGAATTGTATAGTACAATCTTTGGATTTCAGAAAGATTTACATTGGCCTCATATATGTCAAAGAAAAACAAACTGGTACTGCTGATGTCAACATTGCACGATGATGGAAATATTGATAGGGAAACCGCAACAAAACGGAAGCCTGAGATGGAAACTTTCGCAATAAAAGCAAAGGTGGAGTAGATGTTGTTGATGAGATATGCAGCAACTATGATGACACTGAAACACAAAGCACTGGCCAATGGTTGTGTTTTACTCGATCCTAAACATGTGTGGCATAAATAGTTTGATAATGTACAAAGAAAATGACAAGTGCAAAATACCACAGAGAAATTGTCTTAGAGAAATGGGACTGGAAATCATGAGATCAATTACAGCAGAGGAAAAACAAAATGTTTCGCCCAGGAAACTATACAAAAAAATTGTGGAGCACACTGGTGATCTGACAGGTGAACAGGCAGGTGCAGCATCCCAAAGACCTACTATGACAACAAGAAAACTAAAAAAATGTCAACTGGGCCCTACAAGAAAGGTCAGGAAAAGAAAACATAAATACTATCAGTGTAAGTGATACTTATGTATAAAACATGCAATTGTCATGTGTGAAGACTGCCTTGGGTGTGACAGGTGAAGCAAAGATTATTTTTGTTGTAGAGTTCGATTGGTATTTTCATCATAGTTCATTACAGATTTTCATTTCTGATGTTATCTTTTAGGTTTTGTAAACAAGTACACAACTAATGCGAAAATGTTGATGTCTATTCTAAATGCACAAAACACATTAATAATTTAATACTTTATTTTATTTCTAGTTTATGTTCCTGTTAACTATGCATTGTATAATATGATAAGAACCTCCTGACAAAACAACAAGACTAGCGAGATGTCAAGTATGTCCGACATAAATCCAGGAAAGCAAAACACATGTGCTGTCAGTGTACGGGGTCTGTGTGTATAGAATGTGCTGTTGTCACGTGTGAAGACTCCCTTAGGTGTGATAATTGAAGTAAAGATCTTTTTTGGAAGAGTGCTACTGGTATTTTCATTGTAGTTTATATAGGAATTTATTTTTGTTGTTCTTTAGACTTTGTATACCAAAAAACAGTCAATGTTGAAAATTTTGATGCTTTTTTATAAACACTCAAAAATATTAAAATGTAATACTTTATTTTTGTGATTTTTTTCCTCATTGTTTAATATAATAAAACTCATAAAATTAAAATTACTAATTCATCAATAGAACTATTCTAAAGAATAAATGTGGGTTTTACACACCCATGTTTCTGTGCCTTTATGGCAAAAAATGTGTTATGCTCCCAGGACTATAAAAATAGCCCTGCCTTTTTACATGTCTGTTTGGCTATAAGGAATGTGGATTATTTTTGCTAAAACGGGAAAGAAATAATTCAAAGCAACCTGTGCATTTAGCAGACACCAATCCCAAGCCCAGAGCAGAGGGTCTGCTGCAAACACCAAATGCTCTAAACTCACGATGACATCAAAGGCCCATCCCACCCCAAACTCACCACAGAAACCCACTGACATCTGCGTTTGGGTTTGTTTCTTGTTGGTGTCTCATGTTGGGACAGAGAAAACATTGGGACATCAGGGTTCAGGTTCGATCCCAGCAGATCCAAACCTTGGTCTTTTATGTTCCTTATGTCATCCCGCTGGGGATGCAACTGGGCCGAATGAAATGTGAACAGAGGGCACAGAGGGGGGAGTCGAACCCACTCCTGATCCCCTTGATCAAAAGAGTCAGCCTGGCGCACCCTGCCCTAGGGCCATGCTTTGGGGGGGGGGGCTCCTTAGCTTTATCTCACAGCAGAGAGTGCCAACCCCTCACTCAGCACCTCCGTGAGATCCCAAGGGAACAGGGCCAGGGAGAGGTGGGTGTAAGTCCAGGCCCTCGGCACAGATTCACGGTACACAAACCCCTATCCAGCCAGGCTGAAGGGGCAATTCGCCCTCAGGGTCTTTAAGGCCCCAGCAGGAAAAGTTAGTTCACAGCGAGTTCGGGTTCTGCCATCCAGGGTCATAATTATGTGCCTTGGGAGCAACTACCTGCTTCAGAAAAGATGGATTTGGTCGGGCAGAAATTTTAGCTCAAGATGAATTTTTATTGAAAATATTACTTAGGCTGCCTTGATGGATGCTAAATGCTGTCAAGTGCCTCTTCAAGCAGGTTTGATTCTTTTTTTTTTGCTCTTCTTCATCTGGAGGAGTTGAGAAATGATCCTCAGTAGACCCTGAAGGAGGGATGCTGAGGTCACCAAGTCACCTCCTCTCTTCCAAGGCCACCTCGCCACCCCCACTGTTGATACCAGGGCCCTGTTTGGTAAACATGGAGAATTCACATTCCTTCCAATATTATTTCAAAATCCTGAATGAATGAATGAATGGTCATGTCTACCAAAAAAAACAATGAAAATTTTAGGCAGGAACAGCCTCAAAAAATGTCTGGGCCTTGCAGATCCAGGTGAGCCTGGAGCTATGTCCGCCAAGGGCTTGTCTGGGCAGTGCCGAGGCAGAGGGCCACTTGGGTCACATTCAGACCAGGGCACAAGGGCTGATAATTCTGCTTGCAGTGTGTGTCCAAGAAGAGGAGCTGATGACTGCCTGGGAGACTGCCCTGAATGCGCTGTGAGAATCACTCACTCCATCCTCCCAGGCAAAGGAATGCCATTTTTCTAGGTGAATGTCAACCCTTGACTACAAGACATATCAACCTCATTCCTTCTCTACACAGAAAACGGACAACGGCCAAACATTACCGTGATTTCTGGTAACATACTGGAGTTTTTATCAGGCCATGTTTGAGATGAGACAGATCCGAGAAGTTGGGGAGTTTGTTCCAGGTCTCAGGGCTCCTGAGAAGCAGGGTCAGACTCATGGCACTGTCAGCTGGCAAAGGAGAAAGCAGAGGAGCAGTTCCACTCTATTCATGGCCGGGTGGAGCGACTTGACACAACCTGAGTTCTTAAAAGCACTGGGGGAGGAGTCAGGACCTGCACAGAGGTCATCAGGTGGATGGGGTGGTAGGGTCCTGTGGCTGGTGTCAGGCACCTGCTGAGGCAGCACTGGAAGGCACTGGATCATGCTGAGGATATGTAGGACCCAGGATTCTGGAAGAGAGAGCCTTGCAGGCCCCTAAGAGGCCACAGGTGGCTCCGCGTCCCAGGCAGGCTGTTTGCCTCTGGGCACATGGGTTCCAGATTCGGCACTGCACGCTGGGTGAGCACCAGACCGCCCTCCCCTGAGCACATTCTGCAGGTCCCATGAGCTGGCGCCCTCCCACCTTTGCCTCAGATCCACTCACTTAATCCTTCAAAGCAAACCCTCGAGGGAGGGTCCCCAGTTACCCACTCTGTAGCTAGGAGCAAGCAACACGCTTACAGTTGGATGGCTGGTAAGTGGTGCGGGCCAGACAGAAGCCTACACAGCCTCAGCCACAGCCACCATCAGCATCTCTTACAGGTGACAGAAAACCCAATTCCAAGAGGTCCGGGCAGGAAAGAGCAAGGCCAGGTTTCAGGGTGGCTGCACCATGACCTCCTGTGACGGCCGCACAAGCCAGCTGTCATCCTTCCTCCACTTCTGTGGCCTGTGGCTACAGGACAGCTGCTCAAGGTGACCCTTGTCTCACCAGGCTTCTGTCAAAGGGCCTGTGCAAAGGTCCTGAGGCTCATTCTGCTCAACTGGGCTCAGGCAAACACCCAAGATGATCCCAGTGGCCAGGAGGGGTGTCAGGTGAGGCATCCATGTGTTTAAGGTAATCTGGAATGTTTCTGGTTTAAAACCAAAGATGTAAAGTGTTCTTCACTTAAAATCAAGAGAGTTTTACTAGAAGATCATTCAGTGTTAAGGAATGAATTTACAACATAGATGAACTTTGTAAACATTATGCTAAGTAAAAGAAGCCAAACACAAAAGGCCACACAGTGTCTGGTTCTGTTTATATAAAAGGCCCAAAGTAGCCAGATCTACAGAGACACTAAGTAAACTAGCGACTAACGAGGGCGGGCATTTGGGGAAGTGATGCCTGGTAGCCACAGGGTTTCTCTCTGGTGATGAGCATGTTCCAGAACTCGATAACAGAAATGAGTCCTCAATCTGGTGAATTGTACCCTTCAAAGGGTGGATTTTATAGCATGTGAATTATATCAATGAATTTCGTTGTTTTGTTTTGTTTTTTGAGACAAGGTCTCACTATGTAGCCCAGGCTGGCCTCAAACTCACAGCGATCCTCCTGCCTCAGCCTCCCTAGTGCTGGGATTACAGGTGTGCACCACCACGCCCACCTTATATCAATGCATTTAAATGAAACAAGATAACAGAGTCTTGATTGAAAAAGAGATCAAGAGAATCAAAGATTTTTGTCTGTTCTGGAAAAGAGTCTGTGTGCTCTCTTTTTTTCCTCAGTGCTTGGGCTGGAACCCCGGGCCTCTCCCATGCTAGGCAAGAGTCCTAAATGAGCCACAGCTCAGCCCTCTTTCTGCAGAAAGATGGAGCCTGCAATTCCCTAGGGAGAGAAAGGTAAGGAAGGAAACCCAATCACTCTTATACTTCTTATACTATCGAGGGTTAGCCTGGCATGCTGCTTATGAAAACTCGCTCAAGACCTACGATTTGATAGGCATGTGAAGAAGAAATCTTCTGGAGTTTGTCCCTCAGAAATATTAAATGAATGGTGTATGACAAATGCTACAAATCCATCTTATCTCAAAAGGAAACAGAATTTAGCTGTAAGAATCAGAGACTGTCTTTCCCCAGAGTGCGTTCCAAAGAAGTCATTTATTAACAAGACCTTTATAGAGCCCCCAATGTGGAGTGGGCTCATCCACTCCCCCATTCAGGGAGGGAAGCTGACGTTTTACTGTCCCCTGCCCCCACTGACCTTCCCAGTGACAGGTGCAATCCCTCAGACTCTGAAGTGGACAACACTTGAGGCACATGCCTGGGCCTGACATTCTCCCTAGATAACAGTCACTTCCACACACTTACAGCAGTGGCTTTCAACAGCCATTTTGATCCTAACTCTGGTCCAGAGCTGATTGGGTGAGGGAGAGCACCTGACCTGAAAAGGGTCAATCAGAACCTCTCTAAGATCACTGACCTGAGGAGACAAATATTTGGGGACCGTGCAGCTACCATGTTTCAGCCACATCCTCAGAGAGAGAGAGGAAAGGAATGAAGTACATGGCCAGAGAAGGTGTGAGTATCCAAAGAAAGGGGACAGAGTGACTGACTTGTATCCTGATGCCTTCCAGGTGTGGGCTTTGTCCTCCTGAGCCTGGGCCTCACCTCCCACTTCCTACTTCCTTTAAGTGGCCTATGTCTCCTCCTTACCTCCAGCTGGTTGGAGGGGTTTTACCCTGCAGAGTTCAGTTTACCTCTTGTAGAACCGGAGATGACCTCACCAAGAACCCTTGTGCCCTCCCCCTGAGACAAGATCTGTGAGTCAGATGACAGCTGGCACCAGAGGACTCTCATGTCTTCAGGCAGCAGGAGCACATGGTGTGCAGGGACATCCTCACCTGGTCAGTTGGACAGGCCATGGTATAGCAAGGTTCTCAAATGTGAACAGCAGACATCACCTGAGTGGCGTGAACACAGTGAGCTTCATCAGTGCGATCTCCAGCCCCCAGAATGAGTTAGGTCGGGGGCCATGAAGGAACCATCTGTGGAACCATGAGGTCAAGACACAGAGTCTCCCACCCAGACCTTCAAGGTCAGGGTGCTGCCCAGACATAAGCCATCTCCCTTCCCTGTCCCTCCTCTCCTTCACTGGCTCAAAACTCAAGTCCCAGGAAAGAGTAGGTAACCGGCCAGATTTAAACCAGTGCTTGCCTCTCAGGAAAGGGGGTCAGGGAGGGCCTTGCGCCTTGGCTCTCCTGGCCAGCAGTGTCACCAGGAATCACTCCTGCAACTGCACTCTGGGAGAATGAGTCCCAAACAGAAGTTGGCCACTCTAGAGAGGGTGATGGACCCTGGCATCCACCCCATGTATCCCTTCAGAGGGGAACGCAGCAAGCCTTGAAAGCTCAGCCAATGACTCGGCTTCCCTCCAGAGCAGGTGGGGCAGGAGACACAGATGGGCCTTCATATGGCATACCAGGTCCACAGCACCATCTCTCAGGTCACCAAATTCCGACTGAAATGTCGCAAGGTGGTACTCTTGGGGTTACTTATTGATACAGTGAGGTTTTTATTTCTTTTATATAAAAATCATTTTCATTTAGAAAATTAAAAAGCTACAGGTTCTGAGAGTCACTAACTAGAGGGCAAGACTGAGGGTGCACAGTGCCTCCAACCAGGCCATCTGCACACTCTCGGTGCCCACTATGGTTCCAGTGCAGACCCCAGGGCCCAGTGGTCCCGTGGCCCAGTGGGACTGATAGAAGCAGCTGCTCAGGTGCCCAGAGGAGCTCCCATGTCACTACAGCCCATCCCTGAAACTGCTTGTAAGTGAGATGAGATCAGGACAAGGTCGCTGGCTACATTTGCCTGTGTGGCTGAAGCCAGCATGTACTCTGCACCTAGCCCCCAACATTCTTATGAAAGAGTGGTTTGTCAGACTTCTGTAACCTCTTCGGGGCAAGTTTGACACATCATTCTGAGCAGCCTTCTCGGAGTCTTGCTCCCCCTTTCTGGCAGCCAGCAGGTGAGGGTGTGTGGATCACTCTGGCCAGCACTGAGAGCACCGAGCCCTTGGTGGGCATGAGTGGAGGTCCTGGGGTGAGATGGGCTCCACACCTCACCAACTGCTCACCCCAAGACCACAGGAAACCTGAATCCCAGAATGGCAGATCTGGAAGGGATCCAGGACACTCAGATCAGGCACCTTTGTTTCCATTTCACCTGAAGAACTTGGTTCAAGGAGGCCTGGCATAGCCCTGGGGCTGGGGTTTCTAGAGACATCACCTCCACCTGTCACCTAGCAGAGAGATCTCAACTTCAGGATCCTGTCCAGCATCCTCAGGAAAAGGAGCTAAGTCCTGGGAAGGAAATCCACTGGCTAGAGACACTCTCCAGGCAGACCTGAAGCACAACCAAGGGGTATTTTATGACTTGTGCAGGCTGTCAACCCCAGGGTGTCTCTCATGACCTTCACAATTGCTGCTCAAGGGCAAATGATCCTGCATGTCACATGCATGGGACAGAATCGATTACACAAGGCATCCTTGTTTTCTTTAGCATACAAAGAAAAAACACAGACAATCAAATTGTAATGCATGATGAGCATGGGCTCTTGCTTCCCAGCACCTGCCCCAAGGACCCAGGTGCAAGTTGATAGGGAGGGGGAGAAGATCCCCTGAAGAGGGAACTTGGGCCAGGGAAGGACCTGAGGCTCATTTGCTACAGGATATCAAGAGACAGGAGAGAACAACAGGTAAACCAGGAGGATTTATTCTTTTAGGTGTATACCAACTCAGCAGACTAATGTCCAAAAAGCCGAGTCATGAACAAAGGAAACACTCCAGTTTTTATACATTTAGTAAAAGGGGGTTGGCCTAACTAGTGGCACGTAACTTGGGGTGGGCAAGCAGAACGAAGGTAATTTGTCAAACTGTGACAGTTTTGCAACTTAACATATCCCAGGGGCCCAGGTGAAAACAGGATGGTATGAGAACAGGAGGTTATAAAACTTTGTTTATAGCTACAAAGTTGCTGATTTTTATCTGTATCAGAACAAAGAACAACAGGCCTAGCCCTTAGGTCGCGGAAAATTGTTTTTCCTCCTTTTAAAGTCCTGCTTCACATTCACAGGAGGCCACGATGGATGGACTGTGGCAGAATCCACAGGCTGGGCCCAGATGACCTTGAACTTCTGACAAAAGTCTTTAGACCCAAATTCTCAGGGATGCTCACCCCGCTTTCTCTTCTCAGTCAAGGCTGGTTCCCATGGACACGGGGGCAGGACCCACCCTGGCGTCCAGGCCTCCATTCACTTTCTTCTGCCTGCTGGGGGAGGGTGACCCGGGTCCGCTCTCTGACTCCACGGTGGTGACTGAGGACTCGGGGTTGATGCTTCACCAGCACAAGGGCCCCACTTGGCGCGTGGGTGGCTCAGTGTCACGTGGCAGCAGGAGGAAGGGGCAGGGGCTGCCTTGTTTCCCTGACACCTCTTTGCTGGCCTCTTCACACTGACACAGATCGGGGGGCGGCGGGCCACAGCGATGAGCTCATAAAGCACCTGCTCCTCACCGGCCACACCAAGGTCCTGTTTCCTCCCGGGGTGCTTGATGGTGATCTCGGAGGACGTCTGTGAGCTTGACACTGTTGTTTCCCTGCCAGGGACCTTGAAATCCAGACCGTCCTTCCCTCACGGTGGTCCAGTGGTGCATGTGGGGTCAGGGGCACAAATCAGAGCAGTGAGAGGGACGGAAGGAGGAGAGGAGCGTGGCTAACCGAGTGTCACCACGGGGCCTCTGAGAGCTGCGGGACACAGGGTCAGCAGTGAAACCCAGGAGGGACAGAAAGTGACTGCATTCAACCCAGAGGCCATCACCTCGGGCCATCGCAGGCTCCCGGCTGCACGGGGAGGGGACGCGCCCGACGTGCACCGTGCGGCAAAGGGGGCTCTGATTATTCCTCAGGGGCCACAAGTTCCAGGTGATGCCTTCGGGATCCTTTAAGGAGGACAACTGCTCCCCTGACAGAGGACTTGTGCCTTCCGTCCTCGCTGGGGAGAGGGAGGCCGGTGGCGATCCGCTCTTCCAAGCAGAAAGGAGCATTTTCATCGCAAAGTTTGTAACAATAGAACCCGAGGAAACACAAACACCTGTCTTCTCGCCAAATAAGATTTAATTAAGAGGCTCTGCGTGCTGGAAAGCAGGTCTTCCTCGACAGGCTGAGCAATGAGCCGCCTTGGAAGGCGGCCACGTGGGGGCCCTTAATTATTCACGGACGTCCTTGTCGCTGAATTCCACTGCTTCAGGTGTTTCAGTTAATTCTTTGTTTTTGAGTCTAAGTGCTATTGGGTTACTTAAAGAAATGGTTGGTTCGCCTACAGTAAGTACAGGCAGGCGAAACGGGGAAGCTCATTTGTCCCCTTAAGGAACGTTCGTAATTTCACCCCTTTGCAGGGGCCTCAGCAGTGAGCAGGAAGTCATTGCAGGGAGATGTGTGGGTCTCCCAGTCCCCGCATGACCTGCAGCCCTGGTGGAAGGTGCATCCCCTGTTGGCTGCAGTACTGGCCTGTGCTCCTGGGCCAGGTGCCTTCACTCTGACTCTCAGTTGCTCCCTCCATAGCCTGTGTCCCCAGACACATCCTGAGGCTTCTCCTGCACACCCTGGATCCTCCGCCATCCCAAGGACCAGACCCACATCACTGGCCACTGTGTCTACTCAATCATGGCCACTCTGGCCTCCCCTCTGAACTTGTCCACACCAAACTGCCCAGTACCTCAGGACCTTTGCATGTGCTATGCCCCCAAAAGTTTCTCTGCCCCCACCCTACTAACCCTTCACCCACTTACCTCCAGTGACCTGGTCACCTGTCAGGTCTGGGATGAAGTTGCACCTCTTTGGTGACCCTTCTGGTCTCTCATCACTCCTCCCTGGCCAGGGCCTGGTCACATCCCCCAAAGTTCCCCCATAATCCCTGGTACTTTCTATAGCAGCAAGCACCACCTCACATAATGATGCCAGGCCCTGCTCCCTAAGGACCATTCATGGGGATAAAGGCCACTGGAGGGAAATCCAAGTCACATGGGCCCCAAAGTCTCCCAGCAGAGGCTTTGTGATGCACTTAACAAACCCCAACACGCCTGGCCACAGGCTAGGCCTGGCTCTCAGTGCTCGGCCCTAATAAATGCTCCCTTCTCCCAAACACGCTGCTGCTTCTTTCCATCTTTCCTCCCTTTTCCCTTTTCTTCCTGTCCTTCTTCTGAAGGACAGAGAGACAATTGCTCTTCAAATCTGTCTATATTTGTTCATTGCCACTGGCTGCAAGCGTACACTGGACGGTACTGTCCAGAATGCTGTAGGCAGTCAGGACACAATGGGATTTGTGTATCTACATATCAAAATGATACAGTAGGGCCAGGGATTTAGCTCAGTAGTTTTGTCGCCTGCTGCACAAGCGCAAGGACCCAAGTTCAATCCCTGGTACCCCAAAAAATAAAAATAAAAATACAGTAAAAATACCAGGCAATAAGAATATTTTCTGCTCCATTACACATTGAGACCAGTGTCATATATATGTGGTTTGTCATCCTTCAAAATGTCATTATGCAACCTGTGACGATTTCATACCTAGATGTATCAGTGGGCATAGGACGATCTCCCACAAAGCCTCCAAAGCATTTTAACTCTCAAGATACTTCATGTTGAATGTGAAAATACAGTTTAGTGTACAGTCCAAGTTTAGAGGTGATTTTCTTCCTTCTGGCATGCTATCAAGGATCACGT